TGTGTCTTTACCAGTCAAACAATGCCCTGCTGTCAAGATCCATTCTCGGTCAATGATAGACCCTCCGCACATAGTTCCCTTTGACCACACAAACACCTGCCATGGCCAAGCGTTCCTAGGAGCGTCAACGCCGTTGATAATTAGATGGGAAACGTTGTAGTTAGAAACACCGCAGTTGTTCTGGTTGAGAAGTTCTAGAACTAAAGGAACTGGTGCCTCGTAATACAACCAGTAGTAGTGCTGATACAGCAGTAGAGGTAACTGTAGGATAATTTCGAGACACATTTGAAAGTTTGTCGGGGATTCGGAGATGCAACAACTGTGGGTGAAAAAGAAGGTTTTATAGATTCGAGCTGCATACCCGTGCTCTACTACGGTGTGAAATTTAAATGGTATCTTTAGGAGAACATAAACATTGGCAAAAAAAAAAACACCTCAAAGCTATATAATTTTGTTTTCATTTATAAAATAAATTTGAATTTCACATAAAAAATGAGATAGGAGAAGCGAATAACAAAAAGATAAATATCAAACCTCATCACAAATTGCATGACACCACGAACCACACACCGTACCAAGCCAAACCACATACCACCAGCAATAACCGAAATACCTCGCCATGTACCTCGATTAACACCGATCCACACAAAAACACATCCCACCCCATACACTACATCTTAAAACACCCTACGATTCCACATTTCAATGTCTACCACATTGTACCCACACACCTCACCTTACTACGCCCGCCCTCCACATCAAAGAACTCATCCCATGCCATGCATACCACTGCCCACACAAACAGCACACACTACATCACACAACACATGGAGTAAAACAGTGTATATAGGAATAAAGTGCAGTGACATAGGGTGAAAGAGGTAAAAGTAAAGTATAATGTAATAGACTTTAGTAGAATGTAATAGAATGTGATAGAACATAGTAGAATTTAGTCGAACTAGTTAAAATAGAGTTGAATGTAATAAAATAAATTCAGCAAAGTATCTCGTTTTTTTTAAATGTAATTTGCTCTAATTTTTGCTAATTTTCTATAGGCCTAATTTATACCACTGAAAGTCAACATGGTAGAGTTCAGCCTCGTTTTCCATTTTCAGGTGGCGTCGAGAGAACCTATTACATTTGTTTAGTTATTGAAAATATAAAATTAAAAACAACAAATAATCCAATCTGGAGAAGGAAAAACAGAAAAAAAAGACGGAGCTTTTATAATCACATATGTTTTAGCAACACTAAACACGATTTTAAAAATGTTTAATTGCCATTCGCGAGTCCACTTTTTATGATATTAGGGCAATCAGAATCTCTATCACGGAGTTCCTGTACAGCCAATCAATGTTTTCATTACGAAAATGAAACTTCATGTTATAACTTAGGTTTGGTGAAAACAAATAGAAATGTAGTCTTAAACTCAAAAATATTTTAAAGTTCTCTTGATTATCAACTTCTATAACATTGATTGTAAAAATATTTAATTTCTGAATTATTTTCAGGCTTAAGTTTTTATTTTTTGTGATTTTTTTCGGTCGCGTTAATTGTAAAATAAAATAAACCGAGAGTGATCTCCCCTAAACTTTCTCGAATATTCTTATATAAAACAACAGGGGATGGGAACTCGGGATATAGATCTAGTTATGATTTTTAATCCATTTTAAATACTTAATTTTTTAAAAATAGAATAGAATCTCATAGAAAAAAGTATTGCGCACCAAGCGAACGCCAATTAAAGATGTTCATAATGCTGCGCAATATTATTAGTACTTTATAAATTTAGATGCGTTTTTGAGAAATCGGAAATAGCGTAAATTAGTACTTCCCGTCAACGGAAATTACTCAAAATTTAACAGAAGTTAGATCTAGTTATGATTTTTAATCCATTTTAAATACTTAATTTTTTAAAAATAGAATAGAATCTCATAGAAAAAAGTATTGCACACCAAGCGAACGCCGAATAAAGATGTTCATAATGGTGCGCAATATTATTAGTACTTTATAAATTTAGATGCGTTTTTGAGAAATCGGAAATAGCGTAAATTAGTACTTCCCGTCAACGGAAATTACTCAAAGTTTAACAGAAGGTAGAGAATTAGATCTTTTACTTACAGGTGAAATTTCATTTATCTATATGAAACAGTACTCAAGTTATAGGCTTTTGAAAAATTCAAAGTAGAAAAAGTACCACTTCCGGTTATCGGAAATCGCTCAAAAGTTGATACGGATCTACGATTTTGATAAAATACTTATATATAAAATTTCATCAACCTAGCTGTAACGGTACTCAAGTTATCGTGTTTACACACACACACACACAGACACACACACACACACACACAGACACACAGACATACGGACAAGATTGCAAAATTATGTTTTTCCGTATCAGTGAGGTGTAAAACGTCGAGATTTGTAAAAATCTCGATTCTTTTTTGCACGATTACAATACTTTCTCTATACTACGTATATACGAGAAAGTAAAAAATAAAAACACGGTTTTTTTAAAAATCCGTGTCAACAATAGTGATGGAAGAATTCTCGCCATCTCGGTATTGTCCATTAACCTCCATTAAGTAAGAGTCTTCTAATCTAACTCTAAGTCTAATGATCGGGAAAATGATAGACTATATTTAGATAATTCTTGTTTCTATACACTATACAATGCCGCAATCGTTAGATTGACAGTTTAAACAGATAAACTACATTTACTAGCTAGATTACTTCATAATGTATGATTACCTTTAATTAGTTTCTTAAGGTCGTTCTGAAGTTTGAAATTTTATGTTGTTAGCCTATATTCGTGGCTCAAAAATTCTGCAACGATATTATAGACTTGGCTTGTAGTGCAATTATACTTTGTAGTGCAACACAGTGGGAATTTCCTCAAATTTTTCTTTTTACAATGTTATATTTAACATGATTCCTATAATACTGATGAATGTGTGTGCGTGTGGGGTTAGTGGAAGGGGGTGGGCAGAGGCGCATTAAGGTTTTCTGTGTAGGGGGAGCGAAAAGAGCAAAGATAGGTTCCATATCTTAACATATATACATATATATATATATATATATATATATATATATATATATATATATATATATATATATATATATATATATATATATATAATTTATATGCTCTGTGTTGCTTATAATCTGTACACATCACATTTGTCAACAAGCTCGGTCGTTTCGTCTTCATTCTGCTCAACATGTTAATTAAAATTAATTTCCCCAGCCTCTCCTGTTGTTTTTTTTAAAAATCTGATTCTATCTATGTACATAAATGGATACATTATAAGTTTTAAGCGGAATTCTTAGACTGAAAGTTAAACCAACAAAACATTTTTAATAAACCGGGAGTGATCTCCCCTAAACTTTCTCGAATATTCTAATAAAGCACTACGTCAGATGGCAACTCGGAATATAGACATGATTTTTGTTTACTTAAACTTTTAAAAATAGAATAAAATCTAGTAGAAAAAAGAATTGCGCACCAAAAGAACGCCAAAACAAAATGTGCATAATAGTGCGAATTATTATTAGTACTTTATAAATTTACTTGCTTTTTTTGAGAAATCGGAAATAGCGTAAATTAGTACTTCCGGTCAACGGAAATTACTCAAAATTTGAAATAAGGTATAGAATTAGATCTTTTACTTACAAGTGAAATTTCATTTTCTATCTAAAATAGTACTCAAGTTATAGGCTTTTGAAAAATTCAAAGTAGAAAAAGTACAACTTCCGGTTATCGGAAATCGCTCAAAAGTTGATACGGATCTACGATTTTGATAAAATACTTATATATGAAATTTCATAAACCTAGCTGTAACGGTACTCAAGTTATCGTGTTCGCACACACACACACACACAGACAGACACACAGACACACAGACATACGGACAAGATTGCAAAATTATGTTTTTCCGTATCAGTGAGGTGTAAAACGTCGAAATTTGTAAAAATCTCGATTTTTTTTTTATTGCACGATTACAAGACTTTCTCTATACTTCGTATATGCGAGAAAGTAAAAATATGTATGAAAGCTTACGGAGTCCTAAGAAACAGATGTGTTGGAATATTAGATAAAATAGCATCTATGAGAATTAAATTCAAACCATGAGCACAGCCGTGTGTAAAGATTGCATGTTGAGCTAGTTCCCTAACTCATTTTTGTAGGGCTATTATTTCACCAGATATGGTGTTTGCTCAATCATATTATGATCAGTAAAAGCCATAAAAAGGTCAATTCTGTAAGAAGATTTCTGGGAAAAAAAAGAAAACTACGCTCCTACTTCTGGAATCCCGCAGAATAGGCAAGGTAGGCTCATCTTAAAATATTAGACCAGTCTAAACTCCGTCAGATCCAGAAGTGGAACTTCATAAGAACCAATCACATCTTCCAATCAATTCTTTGATACGTCCAGTGCAACAGAACGTAATGAATCTTGTTGACAGATAATTAACCTCGTATTGTCAGCGGTTAACAATGAGGGGAGGTAACAATTTGGCAGGTCGTCTATCAGCTGGTAATTAAAAACATTTTCTACAGGAGCCCCAACACGTCAGGCAGGGGCTTTAGGGTGTTTGTACAGGGTTTACCCCCCCCCCCCCCGCCCCGTCACCGTGTGGGGGTGACTGGGGGCACAGGTAGGCTTGATGGCTGGCAAGTTTTTTTTTTACCTTGGATTTTTCACTAGAGTGCGCTATGAATAGGCATTGCTGATAACAAATTATCAAACTCAAATCGGGTTGCAACTCTAATGAATTCCTTAATAATGTTTAAACATAAGCCTTGTCCACCCAGCTCTTATGGGTACCTAACGCACGTTAGGAAAAGTAAAATCAGCTGGGCATAGTGTTGACCACCCCTTTCCTTATGTCCCGATTTCACATAAATAGGAGAACTCTACTTTACCATCAGGGAACCTTACCTCACCTGTTCAACTACAAAGTCAACTTAGACAAGAGGTTAGCTTTATCCAACTCACCCGTAGCGAACCTGCGACCAAAGAGGTTGTCGTTGCGGTCACCGATGGTCAGCAGACAGTCCAGCCCGCCCCTGGAGTTGACCACCTCCCGGATGCAGGAGACGCAGGCCATGCGCAGCACCATGTCCGTTAGGTGGGTACTCTGGTAGCTGCTGAGGTTCTTCAGGCACTGTAGGGGGATAGAGAGAATGTGATATGGAGGACCAGTACAGAAAGGCTCAGGTAGCTGATAAGGTTCTTGTAGGGGGATAGAGAGAATGTGAATGTGATATGGAGGGTCAATACAGAAAGGCTCAGGTAGCTACTGAGGTTCTTGTAGGGGGATAGAGAGAATGTGAATGTGATATGGAGGGTTAATACAGAAAGATGATCTCTGGTAGCTGCTGAGGTTCTTGTAGGGGATAGAGAGAATGTGAATGTGATATGGAGGGCCAGTGCAAAAAGGCTATGGTAGCTACTGAGGTTCTTGTAGGGGGATAGAGAGAATGTGAATGTGATATGGAGGGCCAGTACAGAAAGGAGTTCTCTGGTAGCTGCTGAGGTTCTTGTAGGGGATAGAGAGAATGTGAATGTGATAAGGAGGGTTAATACAGAAAGGCTCAAGTAGCTACTGAGGTTCTTCTAGGGGGATAGAGAGAATGTGAATGTGACGTACAGTGCCAGTACAGAAAGGACTTCTCTGAGTCCACTCAGTTCTGATAAGCACCTAAATAAAGTTAGGGAGACGGCGTGGTATACCGGTAGAGCGCTAGACTGCTAACTCTTAAGTCTCGAGTTCGAATCCGGGGTTCAAATTAGTAGAACATTCCCGAGTTCGCCCAGCTCTTATGGATACCGAGTTCACGTTAGGGAAATGAAAGGCGGCAGGTCATAGTGCTGACCACACTATTCCTCCATTGGTTGTGGTCACTGAAACAGGTGAACTCTACTTCACCTGCCACATAAATCGTAAAGTTCTAAAAGGTATTTCACGTACACTAAGGTAATACTGGGAAAGGGGGGGGGGGGTCGTTCATAAATGACGTCACACATCTTGATATGATAAAATAATAGCTAAATGTCGTGAAATTCATCGTTTAATCGTAACGACGCCTAATAAAACAACAGCCCTAGCATCAAGCTACAGCTGCTATTGGTGACTAAATCTGGACTATCTTTAAATGGTTTCAGTTTCAAAATTCTCAATATCATAACCCGCAATTTAAAATACAATAATAACATTATTTTTTTCTTCCTATTCGACCCCCCCCCTTCCCCCCCCCCCCCCCACCTATTTCATTTATACGTCTGTTAATCTAAAATGACAAACACTCGCCTCAAGTGAGTTGTATTTTAGCTGAGTCAGCAGCCGAGGGTGGATCAATCCGACTCGACACCCCCAGTCCGACACCTACGACAACCAACCTGATCGGGGGGGGGGGGGGGGGGGGTTGCGAGCCGTTGTGGCCGAGGCGTCAAAAAATCGACGGAGGGCTAAACTGTGTTAGCTTTGTCTCGCTGATTTAAAACACGTGGAAATATGGCCGTCGTGACACGGGAATCACGTGACACAGATTTACTATACAAATGTTAGACCACATGTATTTTTAAAAGTAAAAAACACAAGCAAAACCTACCTTTAAAAGCAGAGGCGTAGCGACCCTTCCCGGCGCCCGGGGACAAACATTCAATTTGGCGCCCTCTTCGGGAGCAAATTCTTAATTTGCAGCCCCCCCCCCCCCAAACTTTCGACTTGCACCCCCCTCCCTCACACTATTTATAATGCAAAAATGCAGCTAAAATGACATTTTAATTTGTTTTACAACCCATTTTGGCGCCCACTAAGGTCGGCGCCCGGGGACATAAGTACCCCCTGCCCCCCCCTCCCCCATCGCTACGCTTCTGTTTAAAAGTGATAGACAATATCAAAACCGACCTGAAAGAGCAATCCCAGGCCGTCAAACTCCAGAAAACATCTCATCCAATCCACGTCATTGCACTTGATGGCTTTCCGTAGGAGCGACAAGTTCCGGACGCTCGGATTCCGCAGCCAGAAGATAAAGTTCAGCGACTCGGAATCGAACCCCGACTTCTTTGGGAACTCGTCTCCACCTTCTTCCTCCGAGCCTTCTTCGTTCGCGAGGTCAAGGCCGAGTACAAACCCGTCGGAGCGACCTCTTTTCCCGCGTTTTTGTTTCTTCCTAGCCGCGAACCGGCTGCTCGAGCTCTTCTCGCTGGCGTCGCCGTTGGTGGTGGTGGGGGGCGCCGTGACAGCCACAAGGGGCGCTGTTGCCGGCATCGCGGCGGAGACCGGTCTTTGGTTTGTTTTGGTGATTACCGGCAAGGCGGCGGATGCCGGTCTTTGACCGGTTTTTGAGATGGGTCTTAACTGACTCATTGTTCAGCTGGATGTTGTTTCCAAGTTTTTAAAAAACTCAGCGAGAAGAAAACAAATCCATGTTTTGCTTTCACAAAAAAAAAAAATAGAACAAATTCTCTGATGTGATTGTAGATTTTTGAATGTTAATTAAATTCCGGTTATGCTAATCCATTATGTTTTCTCTGAAACGAAATGAAAAGAAAAGAATTATTTTAAAATACATTATTTAACATCAATGAATAAAGCTAGCAATAAATTTTTGTTTCAACGCAATTTACAACACAGTCTCGCAAATGTTTTAAAACTAATTTGTAATCACATTTCCTCGTAAAGATAACAAAGGCGATTCCCCCCCCCCCCCCCCCACACACACACTATTATAAAGAGTAGGCCTAAACGCAACAACAAACAAACACGCGAATCTGGCTCGTGTTGGCCTATAAAAACAATCTGCAAACAACAGAGAATTCGCAAGCATACATATACACACACAGGGTCATACTTACACACACACATGCACATGCAAACACACACTGAGATAAGTATACCAACTACACAGTTGCAGCGATAACCATTACACAGACATGTGCACGTACACTCACTCATCCACACTAGTCTTACTAACACACATACAAGTACTCACACACACACACCTACACACATACGTACACATTTGTAAGCTAAAACTTACACAATTACACACACGCACATGCTTACAAACACCAATGTTAATACAAAAATACATATACAAGCATACACATAAACACACATACACACAGAAACACATACATACCCACATACAGGTAAAAACTCACAGACATCTCAACACAGGACAGTGGACTAACTGTACTCACACGCGCACGTGCCGTAGATCAATGTCCAATTACTGGCGACAAATCGAGACATTACGTAACACTCTAGACAATAGAAATATGACAGTGAGCCAGGAAATGTATCGTGTGGGGGAATTGGAGTGGACGATGCGTGTGTGTGGGGGGGGGAGGGGTTGTATTGTTTACTCGAGGCTATCGGTTTTATTATTATCGCAATATCAGCCCTGGCGCTAACTCTTCTAAAGCACAAACTTATCCTTGACCTCAGTTTACACATTACCTACCATAGTCCTAGTCCCAACCATAGCCCTTAACGTAGCCTTTACTGTAGCCTTACCATAACCCTAGCCCTAACCATAGCCCCCACGCTAGTCCGGACACAAGCCCTAACCATAACCTTAACCCAACCCCTAACCATAGACCTAAATATAGCCCTAACCATAGCCCTAACCATAGCCTTAACCATAGCCTAACTATACCAATTGATATTTTGGGGGGTGGGGGGGGGGATTTTAATTAGTATATATTTTCTATATAAATTCTATTTTATTTTGGGGGCTGGGAGGAGAGGGGGGGGGGGGGGGCTGGGAGAGGAGAGGCGGACGTGCTTTGGAGTTCGGGGGTGAGTGGCGGGGGGGGGGGCAGTCGTAACTGAAGAGATGCTTGAAAGAAATTCTGGCCGAAGTTCATTTACGTTGAGGGAATTCTAAAGAACCAATTGGCTTCATAAGCAGCCATGTTATGCAGAGAATATATCCGACTGATACAATATAAAGAAGTACAGAAAAACATCGTCATAATATTTGCATCGCCTGTTCCATGAATTGTAAACATAGCCGACAAAAATTACACTGCCATAAACGGTTTTGTCGACTACCTACACCACCACGGCGGGCAAAACATGACAAGAACAGAATTCTGACGTCACCGTGTTATGAAGCCGTCAAGTTTGCTGACTCATCTCGTGAATTGAGAGTTACGTCCCCCTTAACGCGCCGGCGACGCCCTATTGGGTTAACGAACTTTGACCTCGCTGTGTGGTGGTATTCACGTTTCAAATCGAGTGTAAACAAAATCTATTTGTAGCACTTTAAAAAATGTAAAATGCGATTTTTTAATATAAACAGAACAATTAACAAAATGCTTTTAAAATTGGTTGCTAATAAACCGCTTTAAAAATTCTAGCTGTGTAGTGGGATTCACGTTTCAAATCAAATGTAAACAAAATCTATTTGTAGCACTTTAAAAATGTAAAATGCGAATTTTTAATATAAACAGAACAATTAACGAAATACTTTTAAAATTGGTTGCTAATAAATTCGCTTTAAAAATTCTAACAGACAATAAAAATAGAATTAAAAAATATTCAGAAAGTGTTTAACAAAGTTTTAAATTCAGTTATTTATAAATTAACCCTTAAATGATATTAACGTTTTTTGAACAGAACACCTAAGCTGAATTTAAAGGGAGGTTTTATTTATTTATTTATTTTTAATTAAATAAAGTAATTTAATACTACATATGTGAATATTTAATTAAACAGAGGATTTGAGCAAGAATTTAAAAAAAAATAGTTGCTTATAACTTTAAAACATTAGATTTAAAAACATTATTTTAATATTGAAAATTACAACAGAAGACCTAGTCACGCAAGACTGATGTCACATCACAGAGGAGTGTCACGGTACAGTGACGATGCACTAGGGCACTAAAGTTCACGTACACGGGAAACATAAACTAAAGTACAGTTGTTTATGTCGACGCAGCACTCGTGTGAACGGCAGAGGGAAACAGGTGGCGCTTTTGTCTATTGTTTTACTCCTAACAAACATTACTAACATAGGAGCTGGTCAGGTAGTAAAGGGGGTGGGGGTGGGGGAGGGAGGGCTGTTGGCATGAACATGGTTGATCAAGAACAGGCTTTGTGTTACAGTAAAAAATTTATTCTGTTTACCTCTCACTTATATTATAATATATGTGCTTATGCTCTATATGTTGCGAAGTTAATTATATATATATATATATATATATATATATATATAAATATATATATATAAATATATATATATATATATATCTTACATATATGATATAATATATATGTATATATATAGGCTATATTTATATATATATAGGCTACTTATATATATATGTATAAGATGTAATATCCTACATATATAATATATACAATATATATAGACTATATTTATATATCTATATATATATATATATAATATATATATACATATATATATACATGTATATATGTATAGGATATATATATATATATATATATATATATATATATATATATATATATATATATATATATATATATATATATATATATATATATATATATATATATATATATATATATAGGATAAAAGAAGTTCAAATCCTTCTAAGTGTTACACATAGTTTGTGTAGGTCTGAACATAGTAAAAACACTACACAATAACACTTTAATTGCCTTTGAACGAATATGTTGATAACATATTCGTTCACAGCAATCAAATATCAAAGCTAGTTTTAACTGTTACATCAATAGGGTCTCAACTTATTTATTATTATTTTTTTACATTTGACTATTATTCAAAGTCAGAAGCCACTATTTTAGAGATTAAAAAATGTTGGTGGCTTTGGTTGGATGAACAAAGATCTAAAAAAATGATATTGTCACTGCAAGCAATAAAATGGATCAAAAACCTGGCATATCCTGTTCATGTCCTCCGTGTCAACAATTTGCCAGGTACGGCTGTGTTATGCTAATTAGGTGGCTAATTTTATCGACGCTTATTCTAATTGTTTTTTTTTACGGTCCACAGGGCACATAGCTACCTGAATTACGTCATCGGTGTTGTGGCTCTAAATATAGCGCAGAAAAAAAGTCTTCGTTGCTACTGTTAAATATACGTGTCTATATTTTAGCATGGAATTTTTTCTTCTATTAAACTTATGCACGAAAATAAGCATGCACGTTCAGAGTTTCTTCCAGGCATCTCTTCGGGGTGGGGGGGGGCATGTTATTAAAGAAGTCGACTGATGTTAATAAGATGTATTGGTATTGACGAAAAGAAATTAAACAATGATGAAAAATATTTTCGGCGTTTATCAATTAGCCAAATTAAAACAACTGGTTAGTCATCCTGATAAGTATTAAGCTATTAAAAATGTTTAAATTGGGTACGGTTAATGAACAACTGTCATTACGTCATTGTTTACCAGTATAGCTAGTTGGTGTACTGTTGATGAAATTCATCCATTTATGAAACAAGAAATGAGATCAAAAGGCTCATAATTTCTAACACAAGTGATCCAAAACCAGGTCGGGAAACGATGGACTCACATACAAACACGCCATATTATTCCTGTGTAGGTATGCACAGATAGCACGTCGGACTATGCCGCTGTAAGGATACACACTAAAACATGTCACAATATTTCTGTATAGAGATACATTATAACACGTCTTACTATTTCGGTATATCGATACACACATTACATTCGTCACATTATTCTCCAGAGATACACACGTTAAAACACATTATACTATTTCTCTATATCGATACACACATTATAAACGCGTCACACTATTTCTCTATATTGATACACACATTATAAACGCGTCACACTATTTCTCTATATTGATACACACATTATAAACGCGTCACACTATTTCTCTATATTGATACACACATTATAAACGCGTCACACTACTTCTCTATATTGATACACACATTATAAAAGCGTCACACTATTTCTCTATATTGATACACACATTATAAACGCGTCACACTACTTCTCTATATTGATACACACATTATAAAAGCGTCACATTATTTCTCTATATTGATACACACATTATAAACGCGTCACACTATTTCTCTATATTGATACACACATTATAAAAGCGTCACATTATTTCTCTATATTGATACACACATTATAAACGCGTCACACTATTTCTCTATATTGATACACACGTTAAAACACATTATACTATTTCTGTATAGCAATATACACATTATAACACGTCATATTATTTCTCTTTATCGGTACACACATTATAAACGCGTCACATTATTTCTCCAGCGATACACACGTTAAAACATATTATACTATTTCTGTATAGCAATATACACATTATAACACGTCATATTATTTCTCTTTATCGGTACACACATTATAAACGCGTCACATTATTTCTCCAGCGATACACACGTTAAAACATATTATACTATTTCTGTATAGCAATGTACACATTATAACACGTCATATTATTTCTCTTTATCGGTACACACATTATAAACGCGTCACATTATTTCTCCAGCGATACACACCC